TAAATATGTTAATTGTTTATTTGAGGTGACTGTTGAATTGATGTTTTATACAAGTTTTAAACTGTATATGTATTTTATCTACAAATATGTTGGGTAGAACATGGGTAGACAAAATAGTCGGTGGGTGTTAAAAATGATGAGAGGCCTCGGTGTCGGTGTTGTTGTTGGTGTTATCGTTGTAGTCGTCTAGCGGAGTATAGATGACGATCACGGACCTTTCTAGACAGTCCAGTGGTACACTAGCAAGTTCGCAACTTGTAGGTGTTGATGAACTAAATGTTCATTGGTGTACTCCAATCCCCCTCATGGTTCCCTTTAGGACATGTATGGCTGAGGAGTCCCCTTAGCAGTAGTGTCCAACCCGATCATATTCCTTAGGTTAATTCCCTTGTGTTAGGTGTTTAGGGACGTAAAGTGAGGACAATGGGAATGGGTAATCAGGGTTATTGTTGATTGGTGAACTTAATATGTTATTATTATTGTGGGTTGAAAACCCTATATGCTCACCAGGCTCCCAAGTCTGACCCACTCAGTTTTTTTATGATTACAGGTAGTGGACCCCGAGCATAGTCGGAGGACGATGAGAGATTTTTTGATTATAGGCCAGTAGTTGTAAATAACTGTTGAAAGGCTTATAATGTCTTGTTTATGCTTTTGATCTGTATCGGAACATGACATCCCGAGGTTTTGATATATTTATATGGGAAATATATACCTTCTTGAAGAAGGGTTTTGATAAACATTATCATGTTTTATATTGGGGACCTATTCCGCAATATCTTTTGAAAAGATTTCTCTGATTTTATTTTAAAAAACATAAATTAAATCGGTCTTTTCTGGCCGAGAAATTAGGGGATGTCACAACTTTAAATGAAAAACTCCTTTTATCTCCATAATAGATGTCACACCCCCGAACCAGACGGCGGAAACGTCCGGGGGCTTGGTGTGACTTTCAACATTGTAGTATCATTACAGAGTATATAATTGAAACATAACATCATCATCATCACACATGTAATATAACAACATTCATTGTTTACATCGAGTATTGTATTTGAATATTACATGCCAAAATAGTCAGAGTATGATGAAACAAAATATAACACAATATCCATTAGTTTGTTTCGTTCATCCTGCTTCAACGGTTTCCTGAGAATACAAGTTAATTTAAAAAGGTCAACATAAAAATGTTGGTGAGTTCATAAGCATGTTTATGAAAGTCATTTATATAACTTTCAAACCACCAGAAAATCCTATATTTTCTGCAAACTGTTTACTATGTTTGTGTCAGATCTTATATTAATGCATGTATGTTATTGTTTATTTGACTAAAAGGGTAAAGAGAATGTAGAGAGAATGTAAAGAGCATGTAAAGAGAATGTTCCCAGACAACCCGATGTTGTCTGTAAAAGAGAAAGCTGCCATACCAACCCCCGAGGTTGAGTACCAGTACGAGTATGTTTCCGAGTAATCCAAGAGAAAAGAGAATGGTCTTCCGTAAACTTCATAACGTTAATTCCTCTAAGTGATCCGTCATAACCATACTAAATAATGACAATTTCGCCTGTCTTGGCGTTGTTGGACGCCGGTTTTGATTATAAGGTTTTCGTCACCCTAGACTGAGTTAGTCTAACTGTAGCGAACAGCTCAGGTGTGGGGTGTCATCCCCGTATAGATCTATACACAAATCCCCGCTCTCCCTCCAAGAGACTTTGGTCATAACTACAGGCTACGATCGTAGACTTAATAGGTGCCAACCGATAAAACTCACTAGATCCTTAATCGAATTTACGCGAAGAAAAGTATAAACTCATTCCAGACCCAATGAACCATGTAAGTGAACCACTAAGGCATCACTAAACATGTAAATCATTTCAAGGCCCAAATTGGAATGAGATTATATAACATGGGCCCGAAATATATATGAAAGGACAACTAATGCCCATTTCACATGTAAGGTATTTACAGGCCCAAATAGCACACAAATAGTATCCAAGGTCCGTCGCACATGTTAATGAGTCAATGAGGCCCAATAAACATATAAATAGTATACAGGACCTATCAAACATATAAATGGGCCACTAAGGCCCTATAACCTAGAAAATGATCAAATTAATCAGTTTGTTAGTTTATCGTTGGTTTTGGTTCATGTATTCACTAAAATAGCATAAAAGCCCACTTTTTGTAAAAATGACGTTCTTGGCCCAATAAGCCAAAAATTCACAATTAAGGTCCAATTTTTGTAAGAATAACACTTTAGTCTCCATTTTGTTCAAAACTTGTGTTGATGACTATTTTGTGGTAAAAATAACATTTTAAACCCATTTTTGTCAAAAATATCATTTTTGGTTTGATTTTTGTGAAAACACACATTTTTCTGGTTTTGGGCTTTTCTGACCTAGTTGTTGGAAAATTCGTAGAAAAATCATCGTAAGTCGAAATTTGGATCCGTAAATTCTGGAAGTTTGGAAATTTTGTTTAATTTGTTCACAATTTTTCTCACAATTTTTAATGGCTTCTAACAAGTGTGAAATTGCTCACCTTCATAGGCTGGTCCGAAATTATTTCAAATCTGACAGACAGTTTTGTAAAATTCGCCAAATATTGTAGAACAATCGTATGAAAACGTGAGAGTAGTCATTTTAAAGGTATAAACCTGAAGCTTTTGCATGTAAAACAGTTTTGAAAAATATTATGATTTAGGTGGTCAAAACAGTTCGAGATTGGACCAAAACGTTTCTGTGAAGGGCTGATTTTTGAGTTTAGTTTATAGATCTTGGAACACAACACTCATTTTTACTATTTTAAGTGTATAAATCCCAGATCTACTAGTTTACATGTATTATATGTGATAACACATACTTTTCTCAAGGTTTTCATGTAGATCCAAGTGATAAACTTAATATTCTTAACATATTTTTAGGTTTATGAAGTAAATAACACATAACCACCAAATAAATCATGAAAAACACACATATTAATGCATACACACATAGATCTACACAACACAACTTGTATTCTCCCCTAAAACAAAGTAAAAATCGAAAATAGGGGGTATGAACTCACCTTGGCGTGATGGATCGGTTTTGGTGAAGAAGTGGAAGAAGATTTTTTGATCCTAGTAAGCTTTCTTGAGTAGATCTTAAACTTAGATGGTTCTAAGAACATGATCCACAAATATATGGATGTAAGAGGAGATCTTTGAAGAGATCAAGAAGTTAAATCATAGATCTAAGCAAAAACTTACCAAAGATGATGATCTAGGTGAAGATCCTCTTGAAACTACACCAAAACTCGAAAATTTAGAGGAAGGAGGATGAGTTCTTGAGAGCTTTCCTTGGAAGAAGAAGATTTCGAACTTAGATGGTTCAAGAGTGTGAAGATCTTGATGAAAAAACTCTTGAAAACACTCACCAAGTCACGAAATTTTTGAAGAGTAAGGAGGTTTTTTCTTGTGAGATTTGAGAGTGTTTGAAAATGAATCGTTTGTGTGTGTGTGTGTTTCATGCTCACGACCAAAGTATAAAGAGGAGAGGGGAAGAGAGAGGGTGCATGGAAACATGAGAAGTCCTAGTTACATGTTGGACATTTTTCCTTGTTAACCTTTAAACAAATGTGAGGTGTCATGGTGTGGATTAATTAGCCATTTTTCTCTTTTTTTTATATACATGGGCCGAGATTTGGGCTAGGAGGAAAGGAAGTGGATTAATTTGGGCCATTACTTGTCTTTGCTCGAAATCATGAGGCCCAAATAATTTTTTTTTTTTCGGCCCATTGGACCCTTAGGAGAGTTCACGGCCCATTTGAATAAAAGAAATGGAGTTTATGGCCCATTAGGGCTATTGGAATTTTTTGTGGCCCAACTTAGCCCATTAGAGATAAAATGAATCATTTTAGGTCCAAAATAGTCAAATTGAAGGCTTATTGGCCCATTAGGCCCAATAAGAAAATCCTACTCCATAATAAACTTGAACCGGGATTTTTAGGGTTTTCAACTCATAATTGACTATTTAAAGTACTTTGTATAGAGTTTTGAACTTCACTAATGAATCTTGATGGAATTTGTTGTCATTCAACGAGCATCATACATATTATCCAGTTAAGGTTACAAGGATTATCATAGTTAATGTTTAAATGAGCACATAATTTCCTAGCTAAATTGCGAGTTGTGACAATAGAAACGTTATTTTAGTTTGTTATTTGTGGGACCCTTGTATATGTTGTCTATATACAATTGGTTGAAAACCCATGGATCCACCAAATCATTGAAAGCTTGTTAATTATCAAGCTCTTTGAAAAAGATCATCCAATAACTTATTCAATTTTTTTGAGTTTTTTTGCATGAAAAAGCTCCTATTGTGATGTTCTTATTAACTAGTTATTTGGTTTCATTTGATACCTTCTTTTTTGAGTAAATATCATATATGATTAATAAATTTGGAACCAGTTAACAGGGTGAAGGCTATCTTTAATTAGTATACACTAACAGAGACAATGGCGCGTTTAAAGAGAAACTTATTAATTTCGTGAACAAAAGTTGATCTATATTATAGCAAAAAAATTTCAAGGTTGTGTTCAAAGTAAACAAATGATTTTGATATTTCCATTTCTACACTATACTTAAGAGTATTACTTTGATGGAAGATCGTAGACGCATCCTCAAGATTATAGTTTTTTATTAAAGTAATACACATTTGATATATAAGAAATAAGGAATATTATCACCATAACTATAGCATGCCACTGATGTTATCTTGTTTAATGCACCTTGTGTGCAAGATTTTATTAAGGCATTGTATTTTTTCAAAATTTACCATTTATAGCATCGTACTTTCAATTTTTCTTTTTGTTTTTTAGACATTATCCTATGAAAAATTTATCAACTACTTTTTAATTTATGGAGATTGATCCTTCAGTCACAACTCACATGGGAGGGACAATGAGTTTTTGACATCATTATAAATGGTGATAACATGTTTCAAGAGATTGATATTATCAAAATGAGTGGAGATATTAATAGTGCTCTTGTGCTGAATACAATAGTCCATGTTAGCGGGAGGAGTTTGACAATAATTTTGCAGCTTGTAAAAGGTAGTCATACCATAATCAGTGCCATAGAGACCATATAGATCTTTGAAATTGTTAGAGCTGAGGCCAATACTTCAATTGATGAAGGTACATCTTTATTAAAACATTTCTTGGAATTTGAAGCTTTGAAAAGGATTCTTATGAAGTAAAAATTCTTTCTTTATGTTGTAGTAAAAGCTTTGCAGAAATTGAAGAGTTCTTTTCAGTTGGAATGGCGATCCATGTGTTCCACAACAGCATCCATGGAGTGGAATTGGGTGATGAATAAGGATGGAATGCACAACCGCAATGGGCTGGAATGCAATCATGAATGGATTGCAGGAATGGGGGATGAGACATCAAGTACGGTTATTTATGGTGTATTAGATGCTAATATCTAGTGTATTAGATTCTTTTATGCGATGGTTGTAATACTATAGATAGGATACATATAGAGTATGGTTAAATAGTCGTACTCTATTCGACATGTAATCTAATACACCCCTCTACTAATACACCCTCTATGTATGTACTATATTCATACTTTCAGCCGTATTATATTACGCTTTTTCTAGTAGTGAAACACCTCTTTAATTATCGTGAATGGAAAATCAACCTACGTATATTATCGTAATTGAAAATCAATATGTGTTCATAATATTTGCGTTTGATACGTTTAGTTTCCTCACGCCCGGTGCGGTGGAGCTTCTTAATAGAATACAATGGATCCTGAATAACAATCTTATATCTTTTAGATCAATTGATGTATTCTTCAAAAAAATTGGTTTTACCATACAAAAAGGTTTAGTGGCGCAACTAATTGTCTTTTTGTATTCTCACTCGTTGTATTGTGATCACTAAGTTATTAAAAACTAATCACAATATTTTGTGGAAAAAAAATTATCCAATGTGTTATGGCTAGAAATTTTGTACGTGAAAAAAAAACCGGCCAGCAGGAAGTTGGAAGCTGGGAAATTACAATGAAAAAACAGGAACTCTTGGCATTTTTATTTTTCCACTAAAACATTAGAATTTACAAAACACCATTTTAATTTATTGACACTTTGAAAAAGCCAATAAATTAATAAATTATTTTTAAAAGCGCTCCTAAACACCCTCTACATGTAAAATCAAAACATTAACTAAAAATCCAGAAGCCCCAATTGTAACACCCATAAAATTCAAGCCAATTTAAAACTTTTCAAAACATTTAAAACCAACAGTTATTACAAATTTGTTTTCAAAATAGTCTAATATCAGAGTTCATCCCAGAAACATAAATAAAACATGAGGAGCTGTACGATCACGCCTTCGCCTTGCCGCGATCCCCTGATGTACCTGAAACAATAAACTGAAACTGTAAGCCCGAAAGCTTAGTGAGTTCCCCAAAATACCGATACACTACACATAATACATATACAAATAATAGCATGTACTGGGTCCATAGCTTTATAGACTGGATTACCCCTAGGCCCACAGTGTGAGTCTGGATTGCCTTCTGGGCCCACAGCTCACATCTGGATTGCCATCGAGCCCACAGTACGAGTCTCCCTCAACTCGTATCTGGAATGCTCCCGAGCCCACAGTACGAGTCTGGCATGCCCCACCTGGCCCTCAGCTCGTATATGGAATGCTCCCGGGTTTATTGGTTACCGCACGAAGCAGTGTCACCTCAACCCACCCCACATAATATATCAACATATAATATAACTACTAAGCATGCACATAATCATATAACAACACATGTAGTCCTACAGACCTACCTAACTAGCATAACCACTAGCATGCAACACTAACTCATACTCAACATCTAACACTACTATGATAACATATCCAATGGGCCGGCCTTGGTGCCTTAGACCCCTTAGTATAGTGAGGTAACTCACCTCGCACTGTCGGCTCGAAGATAAACCCAAGCTCTTGGATTGCAGGTACAACTCCACCACCTAAATGCACCATAGAACCATGCTTGTAAATTTCCAATTTCCCAAAATGCCCTAGAAGTCCAATAGTCAACCCTTGGTCAAAGTTAAAGTCAACAGTCCATGTTGACCTCAACTCGTCGAGTATAACCAGACACTCGTCGAGTTCCTTGCATAACTCGCTAACTCGCCGAGTCACTTGAGCGACTCGTCGAGTTCCTAATGTCAGTGGCCGCAAACTCCTTGGCCAACTCGTCGAGTTTCCCCTTTACAACTCGTCGGGTTCATACGTGTCCAAAGGTTGGGAAAACCCTAGCCGACTCGCCGAGTCATTCGACTGAATCGCCGAGCCCAAGGCAAACTTCATCGGACTCGTCGAGTCGTTCATTGACTCGCCGAGTCCATTCAGTCCTTCATCCATACAGTGGCTTTTTAAGCTATGCTAAGGCTCCATATTGTAGATCCAGCCTCCCAAGGCATGTTTATCACGTAAAGTTGCAAACTTTACGTGCATGCAAGGCCCTAAAGTCTTAAAATGACAAACTAAGCTTGCACATGGAGGTTTGCACCTAAGGAGAGTCTCATCTTTGCAAAAGCTGGAAGCTTTATGGACTTAAAGGCCCAAGAGAGTTCAGATCTGAAGTTACAACTTCAGATCTTAGCTTATACACAAGAAAAGCTTCCAAACATACTAGAAAAGCCCTAAAATTTACCCAAAAGAGATCTAGAAATGAAATGAGGTCAAGATAGCGATTTGATACCTTCCAAAAGATGCCAACTAAGATAGATTTCAGATCCCACACGTTCCTTGCTTCTAGATACTTGCTCTCTAAGCTCTTCTCTCCAAAAATCCTCTTCCAAAACTTAAGAATACACAAATGGAGCACACTCACACGAATTAGGGTTTCTGGATTATCAAGAGACTGTAAGGGGAGGCTGAGGAGGCCAATGATCCTTTAAATAGGGTGCAATACCCCGAAATTTAGGGTTTCATCTGCCAGCTCCTACTCGTCGAGTCCATTCTTGGACTCGGCGAGTAGGTCACTAAAACACATGGACCAACCCGCTGCTACTCGACGAGTAGGGCAACATACTCATCGAGTAAACCGTGAAATCAAGAAAATTCTTATTTAAAATCAACACCTGAGAATCGGGGCATTAAAATTCTCCCCCACTTGAACTAGACTTCGTCCTCGAATTCTGCCGCGGCGAACAGCTCCGGATAGTGCTCCCGCATCTCTGCTTCTGGCTCCCAAGTCCACTCGGATCCTCTCTGATGCTCCCACTGTACCTTTACCAAAGGTATCTCCTTGTTCCGTAGAACATTCCTCTTCCTCTCCAGAATGGCCACGGGCCTCTCCACATATTTCAGGCGCTCATCGACCTGAATATCCTCCAACGATACTACCGCCTCCTGATCCATGATGCATTTTCGCAATTTTGAAACGTGAAAAGTGTTGTGTATTTGACGAAGTTCCTCCGGAAGATCCAATCTGTATGCATCCTTGCCAACCCTAGCCATAACCCGAAATGGTCCGATGTATCGGGGACCCAACTTTCCCCTCTTCATGAAGCAAATCACACCCTTCCAGGGTGAAACCTTCAGTAACACCATGTCACCTACCTGGAACTCCAACTCAGATCGGCTTCTGTCGGCGTAACTCTTCTGCCGACTCTGAGCGGTCTGTAGTCGCTGTCTAATCTGCTGAATCTCCTCAGTAGGTTGCAAAACTACCTCTGTCCGTCCCATTACTTTGTGACCAACCTCTCCCCAATAAACTGGGGTGCGACATCTCCGCCCGTACAACAGCTCAAAAGGTGGAGCGCCAATGCTGGAATGGTAGCTATTGTTGTAGGAGAACTCTGCAAGGGGTAGGTGGGAATCCCAGCTCCCACCGAAGTCAATTACACAAGCCCTTAACATGTCCTCGTGGGTCTGTATGGTCCGCTCGCTCTGACCATCGGTCTGCGGATGGAATGGTGTACTAAAGTGTAGCCGCGTGCCCAGTTCCTCGTGGAACTTCTACCAGAAACGGGAGGTAAACCTAACGTCCCGGTCGGAGACAATGGAGACTGGAATCCCATGGCGAGCCACGATCTCGCGGACGTACACGTCGGCCAAATTCTCGGCCAATGAACTCTCCCGTATGGCCAAGAAATGGGCACTCTTGGTCAATCATCCCACGATGACCCATATAACATCAAACCCATTCGTCGTTCTCGGCAACTTGGTAATAAAGTCCATCGTGATCTGTTCCCATTTCCACATGGTAATCTCCAGGGGTTGCAGCTTGCCATGCGGCCTCTAATGCTCGGTCTTGACCATCCTATAGGTCAAGCACCTCTCGACGTACCAAGCGATTTCTCGCTTCATGCATGGCCACCAGTAGCTCAAACTCAAATCCCGGTACATCTTGGTGGGCCCCGAGTGAATAGAGAAGTGAGACTTATGAGCCTCCTCCATGACTGTCTGTCTTACCCCACCGGACATCGAAACCCATACCCGACCGCATCGGGTTAATAATCCCCGGCTATCCTGCACAAACCGTTCACCCCTGATCCTCTCCAGCTTCCAGTTCTCTGGTCGCATGCCCTCGACCTGAGCATCTCTGATCAAACTCACAAGCAGAGAATCCACCGCTATCCTCATACATATCGCTGCGGTGGAAGACCCAGCTGACTTGTGGCTCAAAGCATCCACAACCACATTCGCTTTACTAGGGTGGTAAAGGATCTCGCAATCGTAGTCCTTGACTACATCCAGCCACCTGTGCTGCCTCATGTTTAGGTTCGGCTGATCCATGATATGTCTCAAGCTCTTGTGATCCGTGTAAATGGTACAACGGACCCTATATAGGTAATGTCTCCATATCTTGAGGGCGAACACCACCGCCCCCAGCTCTAAATCATGCGTAGGGTATCTCGTCTCATGCGACTTCAGCTGTCGTGATGCGTAGGATATCACTCATCCTCTCTGCATGAGGACCGCCCCTAAACCTGTGATGGATGCATCACAGAACACCACAAAATCCTCAACTCCCTCCGGGAGTGTCAAAACTGGAGCCTCACACAAACGCTGACGGAGGGTCTCAAACGCCCTCTGCTGCTCAGGGCCCCACCGAAAATCCACCCCTTCCTCGTCAGACGAGTGAGGGGTACCGCAATCTTGGAGAAATCATGTATGAATCTCCGGTAGTACCCTGCCAATCCCAGAAAACTCCTGATATATGAGGGAGATTTCGGAACCTTCCACTGCATGACTGCCTCGATTTTGGCCGGGTCGACCAAAATCCCATCCTGGTTAACGAGGTGTCCGAGGAACTGGACCTCCCGTAACCAAAACTCACACTTCGAGAACTTGGCATATAGCCGCTCTCGTCTCAGAACTCCCAACAACTCCCTGAGATGCTCCTCGTGCTGCTCTCGAGTCTTGGAATACACGAAGATATCATCAATAAACACGATGACCGAGCGATCCA